TTTTCTATTTAATTAAGTTTTGATGAAAAATAAAAAACACACAATTATAGAATTCGAAAATGCAATTTATATTCAATCAGTTTTGAGAAAAGAATTATGAGCAAGACAACAGAGATATTTTACACCTTCTGAGAAAATCCTCTTCTCTAATGTCTTCTGTGCTCTCATTGTTAATCACACTTGTTCTTGGAGATTTGTATTCTACAGACTTCTATAATTTGTTGTCTCCATTACCCAGGTGTGACTGTTCTTATTTTTATTACCTTCATCATTTGTGTATTGGTGACAAATGAGGTGTTTTTCATCCCTAGTATGATTCTAGGGAGGTGTTCATCCTTGGTGAGATTCAAAGAAGGTGTTTTCATCTTTTGATTTGTTCAAAGGAGGTTTTCATCCCTACTGTGATTCTAAAGTGGTGTTCATCCTTAGTGGGATTCTAAGGAGGTGTTTTTCATCCTTTGATTTGTTCAGAGGAGGTGTTCATCTCTAGTGAGATTCTAGGAAGGTGTTCATCCTTAGTAGGTTTCTAAGGAGGTGATTGTCTTTTTAATTAGTTTACCTTTTACTGGTTCTTCTGCTGAGTTGATTGTAATTTGTAAACTGAATTTGAAAGATATTGAATTAGGAGTCACTCTTGTGTTAAGAGTTGACTGGGAACTGGATGCAGGGTTGGCTATACCCGAACCAGTATAAATTACTGTGTGTTCTTCTCTTTTCCTTATCTTTTTCTCTTTTCCTGATTATATTATTGTTTTCGTTTTGTCTGTGTTCAAACAAATTATTGACTCACAAATAAATTTTTAATTTGACATCTATTAAAATTTGTACATCTATTTACCCCTCTAGATATCATATGTTTAACAAACATGTTATTTATAAGGATACCAATGGTATGTGTGATGTATATATATTTCCAAGATACAATTCTTTTTATTTTATACCATGGATAAATCATTAGAAATGAATTATGAAGCCGGCTAAACTTGACATTTTGTGCGCAGAAGAAGGACATACGATGAAACAACATTGAACGTAATCTTTTATTTGAGACTATTAAGTTGCTAGAAAGGATGATGTATGTTTGAAGGGAGGTAGAGCAAATCTTCCCAAATGCTTCCAAACATTATATAAGATAATTTAGGCTCCCGCAGTATATTATCCAAGTCCATCCACAACGTAGTGTAACCATAAATTGGTTTATTTAAAGAGGACAAATGGCATAAAAGTTTTTAGTTGCTATTTATGTGCCAAACATATACTGGCTACATAATCTTCCAAAAGCCTAAAAATACAAATTAGAGGAAGAGGTTTCTCGGTTTCCCAATTCAAGGCAAACTTCAACTTAGCAGAGTTCATTAGCTAACAAGGTAAAGTAGCTCCAACCTCTATAAATTTGTAAATAATTTTCCTACAAATATTACAGTTGGATTATATGCATATTTGGACATTTTTATTAAAATTATATATTAACAATATGAAATTGAACTTTTTATAACTTCAAACTAACTGACGTATAAGTTAAAAAATAATAACTTTTTACAACCATTACACTTATATATGGGTTTGGAAAATTTTTACATTTTCACTTCTGTGTTTATACAAAATATATATTCAAGATGATTTTTATTTTTTTTCTTTTAATTTTTACATTTTGATTTTACATAAATTCTTTTGTAAATTATTTTTTAAAAGAAGAGTTTTTTTTTCGTAAAATAATTATAACTTTTGTTTTTTTATATGCTTATTTATATTATTATTTTAAAATCAATCAAGTTTATGCTTTTTTAAGAAGCAGATATTATCTGCTTATTGAAAAAATGATATTTTTCTTTAAATTGCTTATTTCTTAAATACTTATACATGTGGTATTTTTGTCATAAGAATTTATATAAAGAGTAAAATAGATAATATATGTATTAACAAAGTTAAAAAACTTATATTTATTAATTTTCGTAATATCTCAGAAACTAACCGTATTTTTAATTAATTGATCGTGCTACATTAAAAAAAAAAATTGAAATAAAGTCATAAACCACCCCGACTCCCGTTCAAATTTCCAAAACCCAAAACAAAGTACAAAGCCCTTAAACCCGACGAGAATGATGCCCAAACGCCTCCTTAACCCTCCTCTTCCCCTGCCTTCATCTTCCACCTCCTTTAATCCCTTCCATTCTGCTTCAATCTCTCACACTCCTCACTCACTATCCGAAGCCTTTTCCCTCTTTCACCGTACCATCCACCACCCCAATTCACCTCCCTCCGAATCAGCATGCAACTCCCTTATCGACAACCTACGCAAGGCACGGCACTACGATGTCGTCGTGTCGGTCTACCGCAATATGGTTTTCGCGCGCATTTCGCCCTGGTTCACTTCTCTCTGCGCGTTAACCGAAAGCTTCATCAGGACCCATCACCCAAGTTTCGCTTTTGGGGTCCTTGGCCTAATTATAAAACGCGGTTTTCGGATTCACGTCTATAACTTAAACCTCGTGTTGAAGAGTTTTTTCCAGAGTGGTCAATGCGACAAGGCAATGGATTTGTTTTCTCAAATGAAGAGAAATAACGATTGTGTGGTTCCTGATAGTGTTACCTATAATACCCTTATAAGTGGATTGTGTAAAGCTAAGAGATTGGTAGAAGCTAGGGCTTTGTTTGAGGCAATGAAGGTTGAGGAGAACAAACCCAATTTGGTGACATATAGTGTTTTGATTGATTGTCTTTGTAAGAATGGGGAAGTTTGTGAGGGGTTGGTTTTGTTGGATGAGATGGAGAGAGAGGGGTTGAAAGCTGATGTGTTTCTGTATAGTTCTCTAATTAGTGTCTTTTGTGCCAAGGGTCATGTTGAGAGGGGGAAGGAACTGTTTGATGAGATGTCGAGGAAGAAGGTTAGTCCCAATGTGGTTACATATAGCTGTTTGATGCAAGGTCTTAGCAAGATTGGTCGGTGGAAAGAGGCGTCTGATATGTTGAAGGACATGATGGCACGAGGAGTTCAGCCGGATGTTGTTACTTACACAGTTTTGGCTGACGGGCTTTGCAATAATGGCAGGGCGGAGGATGCAATTAAGGTGTTAGATTTGATGGAGCAGAAGGGGGAGGAGCCAAATACTTTTACTTACAATGTTGTTGTGAATGGATTTTGTAAGGAGGATCGGGTGGACGATGCGTATAGGATTGTGGAAATGATGGCGAAGAAGGGGAAGAAGCCTGACGTGGTTACGTATAATACGTTGATGAAAGGGCTGTGTCGATCTGGCAAAGTTGATGAGGCGATAGATCTTTGGAAGCTGTTGGTGAGCGACAGGTTCCATATGAAGCCTGATGTCTTCACGTCTAATTTTTTAATTCAGGGACTTTGCAAGGAAGGACGTCTTCATGATGCTGTAAGGGTCCATTCTACCATGGTTGAAATGGGGTTCCTAGGTAACATAGTAACTTATAATGTTTTGATTGAGGGTTATCTAAGTGCCCGGAAACTTATTAAGGCTTTGGGACTCTGGAAATGTGCACTAGACTCTGGAATTTCTCCCAATTCAATGACATACAGAGTTTTGATGAATGGTTTGTGCAAAATGCAGATGTTGAGTATTGCAAGAGGACTTTTTATTAAAATGAAAAATTCTGGGATTAGACCAACAGTAGTTGATTACAATGCACTGATGGCATCCTTGTGCAGGGAAGATAGTTTAGAGCAGGCTAGGAGTCTATTTCAAGAAATGAGAAATGTGCATCATGATGTTGATGTTGTCTCCTTTAATATAATAATTGATGGAACTCTCAAAGCAGGAGATATTAAACATGCCAAGGAATTGCTGTCAGAGATGCTTAACATGGATTTGTTCCCTGATGTTGTAACCTTTTCTATATTAATAAATAGGTTCTCAAAACTTGGACTATTGGAAGAGGCCATGTCCCTCTATGAGAAAATGGTCTCGTGTGGACATGTACCGGATGTTGTGGTATTTGATTCTTTGCTAAAGGGCTATGGTTTAAAGGGAGAGACAGAAAAAATCATTTCCTTGCTTCATGAAATGGCTGATAAGGATGTTGTTCTGGACTCAAAATTAACGGCTACCATCCTAGCTTGCCTTTGTCACATGTCAAGAGATCTTGATGTAGAGAAGATTCTTCCAGAATTTTCAGAACATAGTGAACATACATCAAAAGGAACAACCATTAAATGCCATGAGCTCTTGATGAAGCTGAATAATGTTCATCCTGAACTAAAATTATTTGTTGCAAAGTAGCGTTTGTTTTCAATAAAGGATGTCATGGTACTATAATTAAATTCTTTGTTCTTTTTCATTCAAGTAATTATTTTCCATGATTTATCTACCTTTACATCTCCGGCTAAATCACAAAAATATCAAGATCATTTGATTTCTTTTCAAAGTGTTGTATGTTTACGCTAGGAGAAACTTGCTCAGTCTCGGATTTTGATCAGGTATCTATTTTGTGCCTTACTAGATTTGTTATTCTATGATATTGACTACATTATACAGTAGTGGTTGATATTTCTGTTAATAATCATGGAGATGTTAGCTCATGCCTATATACAGTTTATTCAAAAGTGTGATTTGGAGATTTTTATTTTTTGTCTTGGAGCCCTCCTTGGTGTTAATTAAATCAAGTCCTATTGTGAAAGTTTTGTTGTCCGACCCTTGAGCTGGAGCTGTAGAAAAAGACAAACTGCATATTAATTTCTTGTTCTGTATATAAACTTGATTTGAACGAAGGAATGCGTTGTGAGCATCATAAAGTAGTGAAATGGTGATTCTATAACTGTTAGGAGCCCGGTGAGGGGGAAAAGAAAAGTATTAACACTTGGAGTAGTTTTCTGTATCATTTAGAACTGCGCACTTGCTCTTTGATAGTATTTTATTATTACACACACAAGTACTTCATAACAGCATCCATCATGCAGCAGAACTCTGATGGTAGTTTACACATCATATTTTGCCTTCTAAGTCTGCAGTTATAATTTCACAAAACTAGGTCTCATGGATGTGGCCTGGTCGCTCTATGAGAGAATGGTCTCATGTGGTCATGTTCCGGATGTTACTGTGTTTGATTCTTTGCTAACAGGCTATGGTTTAAAGGAAGAGATGGATAAAATTATTTCTTTGCTTCACCAAATGGTGGATAAGGATGTTGTTCTGGCTGGACACAAAATTAACATATACCATTTTAGCTTGCCTTTGTCACATATCAAGTGATCTTGATGTAGAGAAGATTCTTCCAAAATTTTCACAACATAGTGAGCATACATCAAAAAGAACAGCCATTAAATGCCAAGAGCTCCTGATTAAGCTGAATAACGATCATCCAGAGCTAAAGTTATTTGTTGCACAATAGTGTTTGTTTTCAGAAGCATGATATCATGGGTATTCAAGTAAGTTCTTTAGTTGTCTTTCATTAGATTAGCTACGTTGCATTCTTTTTCTACTGTTATATCTCAGGTTAAATTGTAGAAGCTATCAAGATCATTTGGTTTCATTTTCAGAGTGAAGAATGTGTTCCATTGACTACACTAATATATGAAGAGTTCATATTTCTGTTAAATCTTGGAGATGTTTTTACGTCATGTCCATATACGAAGTATTATTCAAAGGTGTGATTTGGATAATTTTTTTTGTTTTAATGAGATGCACGTGTGAATGGTGTATGTTTGTGTGTTCTCATAAATACCTAGTCCATGAATGAAATCGGCAAAATTTCTTCTTCCAGGTTTATTTTTTGACGCAACTGTTTTACTTGGTGTCAAACATTCAATATCAACACTTCGTTATTATTTTGAGATAAAATGTCTGCTTTTGAAGTAGTAACAAGAAATGTCAAATTGGTTACGCTTAAGGGTCTCTGCCTCTCATTTTTATGCAAGGATAGATACTAGATTGTGTGATGTGGTTAAGAGTTTGGTGCTCACCCAAAAAATTAAAATCAGTCAGCCTGCCAGCTCAAGGCAGCACTAAACACAATTGGTACTTTCCAAGTTTCCATTCTAAAACAGAAAACATCAATATAACATGAATTGGCTAAACCCATTTTAAACCAACTATAATCAATCACTAACTAGTACCAGAACGCTCATGAATATATGTTGATTTAGAACTAACTTATTGTCTAAATCTCATCTGGTATGTTGTGCGTGCCTGAAACACAAGGCATGCCGAGGCCCGTACTAATTTACTGTGTTTGAGTTCAGCTACTCAAATTTTCTACATTAAATAATCTTTTGTAACAATATTGAAGATTCCAGCTTTGTTGTAATTTCCTTAATAGTGTCAGGAACTTGACTAGTAGATGATTCTGAAATCCTGACTGGGTTGAGATCAACTCTCAAATCTCAATCTTCATCTGGAAGTTTGTACGTGTACCAGATGTTTGTTTAGCCTCTGATTTTGCAGTCTTATCTGTGATGGTTTAAATTTAAATTTAAATTCAAACATGCTGGGATCTGTTACTCTTTAGATAAACACTCTTGAAAGCTTTAGTTGTTTTAAGTAGAGGCTCAACAATGGTTTTATTTCTTAGCACACTCGTTGACGCAAATGCTCTTAAAGCTTAAGCATGATAATTCGCTGGCCTACTTTACACCATATGTTGGAAGTTTTATTTAGCTATGAATAATGCAAAGGGAATGGACCAACATCTTGTCCACTCACCCAAAAGCTTCAGTTGGTACGTAGAGAGGCTGAGGACTGTTCTTTTGTTTTTTAGTTTATATATTTGTAGAAGATGAAATGAGAATGAGTATAGAAAAATTAGTGGTATTTTTAGTTTATGCCTTGGTATCCATTCGAAACTTGATTGTATTGAGGTTTCGGTTTACAATCAATTTGTTATATCAGAATTGAAATTAGTTCATTTTAACAAAAATTTCCATTTTGAATTAGGAAATTAAATTGTCATTCAGCATTTAATTCAATGTTATTGTTTGGAATTGAGGTTATCTATGATATTGTGGGTGTAATTTGAAAGTTGGAGAGATGTAACTAACGATTTTATTATGATGGTTGTCTCTGACTTGGAATGGTGATGACAGCAACACTGTATTTGTGACTGCAACGGTGTAATCTTCTCTACTTTCCCAAAATCCAATTTTGGCCTTGCACAGTCAATGGGTCGGGTTGGGTAAATAATGCTCACGTGATTATTGTTTTTTGTTTGGTTGTTTTTGCAAATGGTTTTTTTTTTTTTTCCTGAAAAAATTTGGAGAAGTAAAAGATACTGCAGTGGGTTCACATCACATGCCTTCTTCTCTACTTCATTTATATATTTATAAATCCATTAATTATTTACTTTTGTGTTTGGACTTTGTTGCCTCAGAAACAAGAAAAGAACTTCCAAAATGCATTTGTTGTCTTGGCTGCAAGTTTGGGAGAAATCATGGAGGATTCCACCCCTGCTGGCCATCGCAACGAAAGAAAAAGAAGCGGTGACAGCAATGCTTTCGCCAAATTTCTTCCTTTTTCTCCATCATTAGAACACGACCCTGAATCACAGGAGGCTAAATTTGGCGGTCACCATAACCACAAGAGACTCAAACCAAATTCTCAAGCTCCTTTGTTGGAAACCACCACCATGAACTTAACCCCATCGTCTCATCTTCCAAAACAAAACATTGACACAAAGGAAACACTGGACTTTTCCTCTCCATCAACTTCTATTAAGCATTCAGCCGGTAGTGGACCATCACCACAATCCATTGGTAGCAAGTCATCACTCATTGAGTACGTGGAAAATGATGGGAAAATTGGCATAACAACCTCTGATAGTGAGTTCTAACACCCACTTTTTTCTCTATGTATGAAACATTAATAGATATCATATAAAGTCGTTTACACCCCATTTTTCTCTTTACAAGAAAAATTTTAGATACATCTAATGCTGTCTTTAAATCAAAATTATAGTTTCATTTGGGTAGTAAGTGTTAGCCTTTATTGTTGGAGTTATAGAGCTAAAATACTAATTTAATTGAAAAACAATACCAAAAAATACCTTTAAAGTGGATTTTCTAATGGTGAGTGAGTAATTTATATTTAGTTCTAAGTTGAAACCTTTTTGTACACAGGAATACCAAAATGCCTTCGGAACTTTAACTAAATTTTGTCTTAATAGATATCGTATACCACCACTCCATCATTAATTTGTGTTTGCATTGTGCAAGCTGTAATTGGAAAGAATACCAGAATCAGAGTGAACTAGAATCAGTGATGGCTATGGCAGCTGAGGAACTATCAAGGAGGCCCAGAACCGGGGGCATATACAAAGCAATTGCGTGTCAACGCGAGTGCACTGTGAAACGTTTAAAAGATTTGTCAAACAAAGAGCCTACGATAGATGTTGGACTTGAGATGGCTGATGCAACACATCTTTTGAAGTTCATGAGCTTCTCAAGCAGTAAGATCGAGATGGCAGGGCAAAAGGGTCACAAAGGAGCTATGTTGTTGTTTCAAGCAGAGATCCTTCGCAAGAAGGGACAGGAACTCATTGCTGAGTGCCAGAACTTGCTCCAAGATGCATTGTGACTTGTGGCATTTGTAGGATATTAAGATCCTTCAAAGGTTTTCTGCAGTGTCCAGTGGATATTGAAGACTTTCACAATTCTGTCATGTTTATTGATTTTCTTAAAATTTATAAAGAAAAATAATAATGTTACAATAATATGTATAACCAATTTGGGCAAAATTGAAAGGATTTAAAATATACTGAAGAATAGGGTCCATCGGTACTTGAATTTTTTCCAATAATTGAAACTTAACCCAGTGCCACGTCACAAAAATAGCAACAGTGAGTGTGAGAGCTGATACGAAAGAATTGCTCAGTCTACTGCATTACAGTACTAGCTAATGTGGCCAACAAAGTATTGTGGTTGAAACTTTTGATGGCACTGTCTTTAGTCTATCTTTATGCATGTGCTATCCAACTGCTACTGCACTAACACTTTTGCTAGAGACCAAGATCGGTAATTATATATTTATTATCTATGAAAACAATTTCTTAGCTATAACTGTGTACGCTATTTCAATTGTTTTTTCCAGCCATTTTCTTGTCTATTCTTGAACGTGGTGAGGATAACAGGAGTTACTCACGGGATTGAAGATTAATATGGTCCACGATTCTAACCCATGGGATTGGAGATTATGCACTACGAATGAGTCTCTAGGAATGTGAAAAAAAAATCAAACTGAATCAATCCATAATAGAAATAAATTATACATATAAAAATCAATCGGCCTGAATTAACTCACAATTCAATGTACTGGTATATATAAATAAAAGAAATTTCCGTCTTGCTTGCTTTCACTTTTTAAGCATTGGTTAAAGAACGTTAAAAATATTATTTTATTATAAATATTAAAATTATTATTATTATTATTTTAAATGTTAAATTATTATTTTAATTTAAATAATTACAATTAAAATATTATTAATATTTTATCATATATATAAATACCAAAATATATACACGTCACATATATTTCATATACTACAAATAGACATACAAGATTTCAATAAAATTGTTCTCGTACTAACAAAATTTACTCAGCCACGGGATGAATAGTAGGTTTGCATAATGGTAAGAGCAAGCAGAACCGCAGCTACCACAATTCCTATCAGTTTCCACACATTTGGGATATGATCCCTAATCAAGATTTTATAGCTGTGTTTGCAAGAGTATCTGATACATTCCACACAACGGTTGCAACAATGCCACATCAGAATAGGGAACTTCCTCAAGGGATTCACTGCTGAGTAAGCATTCAAGTCCTCACAAAGCTTACTGTAACTAGAGTCCATTTGGTCCACCCCCTTTGTGATTGTGCCAAACAAAGTAAGCAAATATCTGTTGCTGATCGTAGAATCTTTGACCAAAATACCACTTTCCACAAGCAGCTCAATATCTTGCAAAGAACACATCAACCCTCTAAGAAGCAATGCATAAGAAGTGAATTGCCTGTTGATGCCAATTCTGCTTTGCTCCCATGCAATGAAATTCCTCAAATAGACCTCAGTTGTTTCAACTACGTGAAGTGGAGGGATTTCGAGCACCCCATTGGCAAATCTTATGTCAAAGCCAAACCAGTGAACCAGTTTGCTGTGCCTCTCGACTTTCTTAATTGATACACCAGCAGCTCTAAGCCTCGTGGCGCAACGCTTTAGCTCTTGCTGAGCTTTTTTCACCTTTTGCCCCTCGTCGATGGAGGACAAGTGCATGAGATGAAGAAAATGTGCCACACTAGGACAACGGATCAAAGGGTAGCTGAAGAGACACAGTGTGAGATCAGCAACGAGGTGATCAGCTTCACTTGTGAAGACATTGGGAAAAAGTATCCTAGCCAATGTCTTGAGAACAAAAAAGGGCACTTGGTTCTCTAGAAGAGTGAAATCAGTGAGAATAGATTCTTTGTGTCCTAGTATTGGATCTAAAGAAGAACCATTATGGTTATCTTCTTTTGGAATTTGAGGTATCATGTTTGGTGGTGCACATCTAAGGAGGAGTTCTAACAAAAAGGAGCCATCAAGTAACATTATTTTGGCTAGCTCATGGGGTTCGTATTTGATGTTACCTCCATAGCTTGCACGAACTGCATCGTCTAAGCCTAGAATGACTGTGCCACATTCATCCAAGGTTGAAACTGGGTTTTGAGTTCTATGAAGAAGAGCCAGCATGTAACGCCATTTGTGCTCTTCCATGGCCAGAAGGTGGCTACTGGTTCCCCTATGTAAGGGTCCAATGCTGACAAACTTTGGTGAGTAAGCTTCCTCATTGGATTTCCTAAGCTTGCTTGAAACACTAGGAATGCTGCCGATGAAGGACTTAACCTCTCTGTGATCTAGAGACCCCAGTGTTACTTTGATAGAATTCATCCAGCCAGTCTCATTTTCAGTTTGGTCCATGATTGGTAAGAAATGGAGGGTGTGAATATGGAAACAAATATGCAACTTGGAAAAAACTCAAACTCAAACCAGTGAAGGATAGATAAGGGTATGCGTATGCTGATACCAGTCCCACACTCCCACCTAAAACTAAATTTCATATAGGATAAATCCCATTGAGTGGTTCTGAATAAGAAGAAGAATAAAAAAAAGAGAGTCTTAGATTCTGTTTGAGCTTGCTTCGGCACTGCCTAATTTCTAAAGTTGGATTACCCTTTAATGTAAAAAGACTGAAACATAACGTCATTTATTCAAACTCCAAAGGATCTAGGAATAGTCAGAGAATATATTTTTTATTGGTATTGTAGCCTAAAGTCATAAAGATACTTTAGATTTGAGAAAAAAAAATGTACAGACATGATTTATCAGGTTATATTTTAGACATGTAAATTATTATTTAAAATGAATGAATTTCTTGTTATAAAAACGTAGCTAACCTCAACTTTCATTAAATTTTATATAATTTAAATTTAATAATTTGAGTTTTAAACCTGTCATCTCAGAACTAGCCTCTGTAATGTAAACAAGGGACTGGTCGTTGCAACTAAAACTGCTCATGGACCTATTCTTCTTCTAGTGGAGAAGGGAATAGTTGGTGAGCACCATTTTATGACTTTTCTTTTGATGTATTTTTCGAAGAAAAAAAAAAGATAAATTTCATTTGCTATTTATGGATGATTGTCTTTAGCATCCGTTCAATAATTTAGGGAGTAAAATTGTACATGTATTAGATGTCAGAATGAAGACGTGTTGAAGTACTATTGATAGTGATTGCCGAATTTCTATTTGATTTCATTTGTGTGACATCATGATCATGACCAGTACATTAGGCCCCCTGGATCATAGCATAATACCAACCAAGTAGTAAATTCTCGCACTATTATAAGATATATTATTTGTTAGTGAATAATCCATGTTCTGGAAACAACATGTGTGCTACTGTGATCAGAAAGAAAAAGCAGGGCTATAACAAAAAATAAAAGTGTGGCTCGAGAAAAAGTTAATAAAGTTGTTGAACATTGACAACTTTTGCACTTGGACTGATAAAGTCCCTTGATTGATGGTTGATGAAACCCAACTACTAGAGTTTAACTTTACAGATAATGGTAGTTTATGCTTATGGAAAATGTTTAATACTACATAAGAAAAGTCGCATAAGAAGTTCTACATATATGAACCATAATCTTTGGCATCTTATTACAACCACTTTTATCAAAAAGGCTTCTAAATCCATACACAGTAGAAAATTTGTGTCTTCATCCTGAAGCATGGAAGACCATGGACAGAACCTAAGGAAAAGACACAATGTTTTTGGTGTGTTCGTGGATAAATCACTTGGTTACCCATCTTCTGGTGCAGATAACCATGACCCCAAGAAGCTTAAACCCAATTCTGAAGCCCCTTTATCAACTATAGACCAACAAGCCCCTGCCTTACCCTTTCCCAATATATTGGCTTCAGCTTTTAAGGAAAACACCACGGATGGTATCAAATTTCAACTCTTTGTGAGCAAATCTTATAGTGCATCCACTTCCACTTCCCCTCCACCAGGTCAGTTTGCATCTAAATGAATTAATGTTTTTGAGAATCACGCAGTAAAAAAGCCAATCTATGATCTTGGAGAGTATCAATGAATTGATGATTGATCACATGACTAGCCTAGTTATGAATCATGATGTTATGAAAGTAATATGAAAGCATTTATGAGGTAAGTAGGCTTCTGCATTTAGGTTGTTGGTCTGTGACACATTGGTGTCCTTGAATTCAAGCATGAAGTTTCCATTTCTCAATAGCTATATTCATAGTAAGTTTGTGACTGAAAGTGCAATTTTCCTTTTGATGCAGTATACACATTGAAAGTCACAAGTGCTTCAAACACCAATGCGGAAATCGAACGTGCAGGGAACATAGCTGATGGAGGAGTAGCACCAGTGTTGACTGAAACGAGAATGGTAGCTGAGGGTCAATTTATGCTACGCACTAGGCTCTAATATTAGCTTTCAAGCTTAGTCAAGTAGTTCAGCTTAGCCAGTGTTCATTTGACTGTGTTAATGCAGTAAGCATGGTATTGCTCCAATCCAATGTTATATTTTCGGTTTTCTTTTTTCTACCTTTTTTCTTTACATTCTGAAAAAATATATGGATATGCATGGACTAAGCCATGTTCTGTTCTCATATCAGTTTCTGTTGCTAGAACTTGCATAGTCAATTGAAATGCATTGTCAAATATACATTTACTATTACTGAAATTGTTATGAGATGAAGTCTTCTGGCATAGTTGCATTCACCCATAACATTTAGTAGAGAATTAATTACCAAGGTCCTCTTTTAGGATTAATTTTCTTATCTCAAAGGCCACATGATATAATTAGGATCACCCTATCAAAGTGTGAAAATTTCAAAGCTTTAGAAAACAATGTTTGAGACGTGTTAAAAATTTAATGATTTTGAACATTAGTTTTGGAATATATTTAGTACATTAAAGAAATTATAATGTTCAAAATATGTTATTATTACTAAAATAAATACTAGATTTTGGAAAGAGAATGTTTTTAAAAAAACATTACACAAAATATGAAAGGAGGATTGGATAAATACAAGAAAGAGAAAAAAAAAATAATAAAGAGTGTAAAAAGCAATTGCCATAGTCTTCTACCACCACAAACCCCAAAAAAATATCATAACCAAGTATATCACATCAATAACCTTTTAGATTGGGCCTAATCTGGGTCATCATTTCTGAAATCAGTGTATCCTAATAGTCTTGGACTGTTAGATTCCAACTGGTACAAAAATTCGCACGGGCTTCACCCATCTTAATTGGTTTATCAACTTTCTTTATCTATCCATATTAAAAAATGAACATGGATTTCATCTTTTAATAATAATTTTAAATTAATTAAAATGTTTTTATTAAATCTAAAAGAATTTAATTATTTCAATTCAAAAAAATTGAAATTTTTTTAAACCTTCCCAATCATTATTATTTATAAATTAAAGTGTATTATTTATTTATATTCTTTAACTTTTCATATTGTGAATGTTAACAAATCAAATTTTACTGGAAAATTATTTATATTCCTTTAATTACCAAGATGTTCCAGTAATAAAACTAGGAAACATGAATGAATTGTCTAAAAGAAAGTTCCAACCCTAAGAACAGGTAGATCAACAAAATCTCCCTTCAAAACTTACAATATAAGAATTATGAAAAAATGGGTGTTGGGATGTTATGGCAGAGGTTCATGCATTATGAATTATCGGTGGCACATGAGAGACAGAGAAGCATAAGATCGCACATGCATCCCATGTGTCTATTTCCCTCACTATCAATCAACAATAAACACCAACGAATCTACGAGATTAAACAAACCAAGTTCCAACTTCCAACTTCCATACACATATGCAAAGTAATAATTATAATGAGATAGACTCTAAACACAAAAAGAAATCAACAAAAATCAGAAACCAAAACATAGGCAAATCAATTAGCCGATGCATTTATAGCAAAGGAATCATCATACCCATTGGCCACACTATTTTTAAATCTTAATAAACTAATCTCAAATGGAAAAGGAAAACCTATAGTGTAACAAAACACAACCAGCACACACATCAAATTTAAGGGGAGTGTTACTAGGATTCCCCGTGTATGATACAAAATATTGATGAGACTATGATTTCAGCTGAACTCTGTATTATGTTGATGAGGTGGTGAGTGAGTTGAACTCAGTGATGGTGGTGAGGTGGTGGTGCTGCTGCCATGGGTGGTGGTGGAGTCGGGGACTTGCATTGGTAGCACTTGGCAAAGAGCCCAAATGTGTCAATTTGCTTGATGAAGTTGGACATGCTGGCCCATCCTCCAAACCCAAACCCAACCACCAAAACCCACACCACAATGAATGCATTGAACACATACATTGCAGTCCAGCTTGGCATAAAGAAAGGAGGCTTCTCAGCAGCATTCTACACAACACAAAGCAAATTAAGTCACATAATTGAGGACTACTGTGGAGGGAGGGGAGGCCCCTACTTACACACTCCCATTGCATTATTTCAAAAATTTCCAAAACAGGAGCAATAATGATGCCAAATGAAATAATATATAGAAATTTGTTGGGAATCTGCGAGGGTGAAACATATCATATATTACTGTATTTTGCATTTCATATATAGCTCTTTCGTTGTCTCTGGTACTTAAACTTCACATGTATGATTGTACTTAAACAATATAGGAACCTTCATCATGAACATATCTAAAGTTTCTGTTCAAATATTTGTGCACTAATATTGGCCTAATTTGAATTATTGGGGGAAAGAGATGAGTGAAATTGGCCAGCTCAGGAGACGCATAGTACGATATTATTGACTGTAGCAAATAACTGAACGAAAACGACCTTCCACCAGTCCTCCAATCTTCTCCTAATGTATCTAAATCCAGCCTTAAATGCTGTTGTACATTTTCTGCTCTCACCCTTTCCTTATGTTTTCTCTCTCTCTCTCACTGGGCGTGCACATTAAATAGTGGGATACGGGAAGAAGTCCCCATCCAAACGCGGATGTCCAACAAATGCATAATGACACGCCTACCCTCTCTTTCATTCACATATTCACAACAATGCCACATCTCAGTTCAACTTCAGCCCTAATATGATAAATGAAGAGTTAATACTGGTTAATGAGTATTCACTATAACTTATTACATACTAGTATTGGTTTTTCAAATACATATTTCACCTATCTTACCGTAGTTTTATTCACTAGTATGTACAAACTTTGCTTTTCTGTATTATGTCAAAAGAGCTTGGTTTACATATATTTATAAGAATTTATCTTATTAACACGTCATATTAATGAAGAGAGATCCACCGAGAACTCACTTTAACACACTCTTTTTTACTGATTAAAATTCATTGAAAATCATAATTTTTGTTAGTCTCACTAAGTGTAACCGTAACACATCCAATCCAAAACAGAAAAACTAAAACACGAGATTAACAAAACAGAATGTTATCTTATGATGTAGTGAGTAAGAAAATATTGAATGGAAGTGTTACCTGTCTTGCAGAGGCTTTTCTGTAAGTAAGCATGTGTGCTGTGGAGGGGATGATGTAGACAGTAAAACTAACCAGAAGAGCTCCAACTGCAGAGTTTATGGGCCCAAAGAAAGGGAAGATTATGGCCAAAAACCATATAGGTATCACCACTGGCAACCTTGCAAGTGCCCTTAGACAAATGCTTTTTGCGTCATGCATCCCAATTACCTTCTCCCAGACAAAGTACAGTGGAGTACTAGCGAAACCGAACGTGATGAACTACATGCACCCCATTAAATATTATGAGTTAGAATTCTCTTTCCATCCATGCTCAAATGTTTCTTTCTTTTCTCCATTTAACAAAGGCATTTATTTGCTGTGTTCAAGTTGCTGGCTTGCAGCAATTGTGTTTTGCCACTTTTGACTAGTGATTTTAGACAGCATAGTTAATGCTAAAGTGATATTTGAATTTATGTGAATTCTATAAAATAATTTGACAGATATTCAAGTACACGACATAAGATTGATTTTGAATGTTAGAGGGAAATCATCTTTCCATTGTTACCCATAAAAATACTGCAAAATGAAAGATTCGACTTGGTGCAAAAATTAAACCACAGACGAAACTAATGGTTGTTTTGAGAACATACTGTTGTGATCAAGCTTATACAGTTTATAGATTATTAAATACATTTTAATTATACTTGACTGGTACACAAACGATTGTCATTATTTTTATTCGTTTTGTGTGATGGAATTGTTTACCTACCCCAAAAGTCTATGATCCAGTTATTTGTTCTGACATGTTTACGTAACTAGAGAAACTTTTTTACTACGTTTAAATGAACATTGATTGCCACAAGGCCTTTAGGGTGACTAGTTTTTTGTTTTCTATTAATAATTACAATCCAAAATAAGCATTGAATGCTAGTTTTTAATGTACGTAACTACTAATAAATAATCAAACAGTATACCAATTTATAGCATCATTTACTTGAGCATTATTTTACCCTTTACATAAAACAGCAAAAATACCATACTCATGACTTTCCACTATTGAAACGGTTACATTTTTTACATATATATATATATATATATATATATATATATTATTTACTGTAACTAATACGTCCCCACTAATACAAATGTATAACAGTATCAGATTATTTATTAATAGAGTTATATACCAGTGCATCAATTTATCCTTCTAAATAAAACCACAAGCAGTTATGAGTTAGACACTTTGACAAGTTTTTTGTTATCTTTTATAACGAGTTATATAAGCATCTATTAATTAATATAATCCAAATAAGCATTTAACATTATTTCTCTAATACGTAACCATTGATAAAATGTAAAAGAGTATCTGAGGACTTATTTATTGAACTATTTACTAGTGCAGTATTTTACCCTTTTAAATAAAAACAACAAAGTCACTGATATTTATTATGACTTAGACTCTTGAATTGAAGTGGTTATATTTTGTACCAAAACAGAAGAATTTGTTTACCTGGTGAATGAGCATGAGGATTACAGCAGCATCACGAAATCTATTTTTTGGGAGGAGAGAGAAGGCATTGGAATGATTGAGAAGTTCATCACCAAAAGCCCAGTAAACGGCAGCAGCAGAAGGAATCGTTAGCGTGAAAACGTACAAAGTGGCCAGCAAGTATATGTACTTGAACTTCTGTGGCTTCCACATGGCGTGCATAATCTCTCTGCAACATTTGTCACCCTTCATCACTTTACACTCAAAGATCAAGGAATAATCACAATAATAGGGGCATTGGAATTTCTAAAAACGGGTAAATAAATAAAAGTAGTTATCGCTCTCTTGGCTCCATTGCCACTTTGTTTTACTAGACTGTGTTGTGCAGACAAAAAGACATGGGAGCCACCCATTTAATAATTTTTTTGACAAATTATATTTTTTCACAAATGTATACCAAAAATAATAATATATCCCAGTTTTTTAACTTTTTTTTTTTTTTTTGGTGGGGTGTAATTTCTTCGTTTTGCAAAGCTAAAGGTTTTAGATAATTGGTTTCGAGAAAGGACAAAAGCAGCAAAGCAAAAACGATTCAACTGTAGGATTTTCTTAGTGGAGACATTATTTAATTATATCTTATTATGATAATGTTCTTACACTCTGTCTCTTTAGTTAAGTAGGTCATCATTGTCTTTTATAATCCATTCAGCAACTGTGATTAACTGATATGTCAAAGAAAAATAAAGAAACAAATGTTATTATTGAAAGACAATGATGAGATGTAGCTTGGAACCCATATAGAGATTCCTGGAACCTTATGACACATGTAGCTGACAACACACATTTTTTAAATAAATTTTATAATATAATCTAGTATCAGTAGTGCAAGTATATCTTCTATCTAATAATATTTCTTCCAAGATATAGCGAGAGGAATGAACAAGGCTTTCTCGTAAATGATCAAAAGGGTTACAGTGTTAATATTCAGACACTTTCACACACTATACAGATATAAAATATTTATTATTTTTCTACATCTCTATCTGTTAGATCCCATCATCTATATCATCTATTAAGTTTGTGCTTGTACTTCTCTCTCTAGGTGTTAATTAGACAATTGTTTTCCAAAGGGTAACTTACACAGTAACTGCATGTCCACCAAACGTGTACAGTATGTTGGTGGCTCCAGTAAAGTACAGCACTAGCTTTGTTGGTCCCGTGTGTATCACATTTTCTGCCTGCCATAATTTTTTCACACATAAAATTCTTATCTTAGCATATAATGATGTTTCAAACAGCAATAAAATCAGAATTTATTTTATACACATGGTATCAAGTATGCGCAAAAAGCCTAGATTATCTTATTCATTGATGTGATGGGACACTAACATTTATTAAAAATATTTTACATAAACTTATAAAATTATGCCTCGGAATTACTGATTTACCTGGCCATGAATGAGAGCTGCTATAGCCAAATACCAAGCAGTGTAAGTGGTCATTCCAAGTCCAAGAAAAGACCAAATACGGTAATTGTGGAAGGAGGGTATGAACACAGAGGTGGCACAGCAAGCTCCAAAGATGTAAGTCCAAGTCCGTTTGTCCAAGTGATCATTTATGTAGTAGATGTTACTGTTTTAGCAAACAGAAACCAAAAAAGGTGTAAAAGATGTTTTGGTTATCAGAATAAAGTCATACCAGATTGCCCCAATTTTTTTGCAGAAATTAAGAAAGAATCTTACCTTGCACATGCTATAAGCTGAATCACAGATCCAAAGAGAAGGAAAGTACAGTTGAAGGCTAACCCCACAGCTTTCCAATACGGACCCAGCAACCCGTCAAGCACTTCAAACCACTGAAACAATGAAATCCAGGGTAGTGAGTTTCGATTTAGACAATGTGATATATAATTATAACTATATACTAAAAAGACTTTATCCTAAGTTGTAAGGAAATTGTTCGAGAGCATTTGAAACCACCGTTGTGACTAGGAAGAAGTTGAGGGAGAATGAGAATACCTGAATGACATGGTTTTTGAAGCTGACATTTTCTTTTTCCTTTCTGGAACGGTACTCCATGTAGAGGACACTTATTAGATACGCTGTCCAACTTCCCATGATTCCATAGAAAATTTGAAGCAAGATCCCTGATATCATGCCAAGTTGAGAGAAAGAATAGGGCAGTGTCAACAGTACTTGGGCCACCTAATTAGACATTGAAGATGAAAACATAAGTGATTATTGTTTCGAAAGATTTTATTTTAGTGACGGGGACATTAATTTACTTGATTAGAAGCACAGCTGAACCATGCGTCCCAAACAGAACCTCCATGCCAGAGGAAGCTCTTGATGCTGAACATGGAGTGATCTTGCAACTCCTTCTCTTCTTCCTTTACACCACCCACTTCACTCTCTGTCTCGTTAAGGCTTGCCACTATTGCTTCTTCTGCTTGCTTCTGAGGCAACATTGTTTCCATTTCTTCTGATGATGGATCTGAAACTAGAGAAAGTACACTTAATGAGACAAAAAACAAAGATCAACCACTACCCCAGAAAACGAAAGCCAAAGAAAAAAAGACCACCACCCCAGATCCAGATAACTGAAAATTCTTGCAGCTTTTTCACAAAAAACAACAACAACAACAACATGAATCCCACCACACAAAAAGAGAGACTAGGAAAATTACAAAAAAAAGTGGCAGTATAGTGTTTAGAATTACAGAAGAAAATCCAATAGAGATACCTATCTCACTTTCCACTCACCTTACTTTGTGATGTCTCTTTCTCCAAAAGAATGAAAATTGAAGCAACCCCTATACCCCTCTACCTATCTTCCAAAACCAGAACGGTCTTTGTGTTATTGAATGCCTTCACTGACAGCTGTTGAGTACAGTAAGTAGCAGAGATGTGTTAAATGTGTTAATGACTAAGAATTCTCTATTCATGGAATTGAAAAATGAGCTTTAAATGCAATGAAATATAGCATATGAAGTTAAGTTACCAACTTTGTTCTTGGTGTGATGGTAGTGTTGAGTGGAGATTGAGAACTGAGCAAAAATTTTATAATAAATGGAGCACGCTTTAATGCGCGCCACCAATTGGTGCAGGAAAAGGCAGAACGGAACGGCAAAGGCGGCGAGAAGCCGCAAAAGCAGGAAAGAACAGAAGGAAAAGGAAAAAAAATCACTCACTCAACAGTGAGGTTCCGGTTTTGGTTTAACAAGTTGGCCTTTGTTTTTCTCTTGTTCAGACTTCAGAGACTGGTGAATGGTGATACTATATATAAATAAAAATAAAGACTCTTTTACTCACTGCTGAACCAGATATTGCATATATAAATGAACTTGGACCATTTTTTTAATGTTAGAATAGGTGGACAAAAGTAAAGAAAAGCAGAGTGAGAGAGACAGAGAGATCGAATGGAAGAAAGTCGTAATAAAGCCTAGGTAGCAGGTTCTCCTATTAGAGTGATTAAAGGAAAGAGAGAGATGAAACCCAGTTTTGATTTGATTATTGGGTCTCTGAAGAATTTGGAGATCAAAGTGAAGAGACTTTGTGTTTTGTTTTGTAAGGAGTGAAAAGAATGAAAATGCTCTGCTTTTATAGGCCGAAAAGGTGTTTCAACCTTCAACCGTTTAAGATTATACTTTAGTATAGAGACTGAACCTAAGATTTGGTTCTCCAAATTCCCGTTGAACATCATGGTCTCGGGTTTAACTTTGTTCACCCTTTAACTTGTCTCTTACTATTTTATTTGTAATATGTAAAATAACGGGAAAATATACGCTCACAAAAGAAAAGGCTAAATATTTAAATTATTTTATTTTTCTCTCTCTAAGAAATCAAAACTTTAAAAATAGGCATAAAAAACCTACAATTATAACTACAATGTATGAACATATTGGAGTGTCTATAATTATAACACAATCAAAATTATGATAACATAGATCATATTTGTTCATAAGATTTTGTTTTACTACTAAAGATGAAAAAAAAAACTATAATAATGTATAATCTTGGTTTTTTAGTAACATCTTGCATTATATTGATAATATTATATATGATGATAGATTGATAGTTTATATAATAAAACTATTTTTAATGTGATATATTAAATTACTAATATAAATTTACGAAATTTTATTACGCCATTTAATACTTCTAAAATAAAGTTTAAAACATAGTCAACAATCTCAATAAAAAAGTATTAATACACGACAATTTTTAAGAAATAAATATATAATTAAAAATTGATTAGATAAAAATAAAAAAAAGGTTATTTCCAACATGAAATATGACATGAGAGTACATTGATATTTTGCAACTAAAAATATTAAAAGAGCATTTCATGACAAATCTTGATATCATTTTATATACTTAAAATACTAAATTGAAATAGTTAATATAATGTTATTCTCGTATTGTTCGTTTTACATGTTCTATAATTGAAATTCAATCCATATTATTTTCTTTCTATTTTTCTTATATTATAAATTTATGTTCATTTATTTTAAGGTTTTAAATTTTTTTAATTTTATTTTTATATAAAATATTGTTTTGTAAAATACACACTATAATATTGTATGAAAAATATTAAAAATAAAATAAAAAAATATATATATATATATTATTAGTATCAGTAGAGATATATTTTTTATTTTTTATAAAATAAATAATTTTCATTAATAATAAATAAATAAATAAAAAAAAAAACAAGGGAAGAAGGTAATATAGCCTGGCACAATAATGAACCAGATACCCACAAACGTGTACGGAGAAGAAAAGGGTTCCTACGGGGCAAGGGCACTCTCATAGTACATAGGACCCAAAAAAACCTAATAAAAAGGGACATACAAAACTTTGAGAGCAATCATACAAATGACTCAACTGTTCTTCTACTTTTCTAATTTCTTCCTTAAAAAACACAGTTTTATGTTAAAATTAGTTATAAAGGAATGTTTGACTTTCAATTAAGGTTATTCAAGAGTAATTTTATTTTTAAAAAAATGGGTTAATTTTGATCTATATTTTGCAATATATTAGTTTTTTATTTTAATTATTAGAACCTTTGAATTTTGTATTCATTTTCATCCATTATTTTTAAATATTCATAATTATTTTATTTTGATCTATGAAATATAAGAAAATACATAATACTTTTGATATTTTTACACTACTAAAATATATTTGTGATGATTAAATATAGTTAGACAGTGATTTAATATATTTTTAATATAAAAAATTATACAACATAGATAATTAAAAAATAAGAATTAAATTAAAAAACAAAACTATAATTTTTGTAAATTATAAGAACCAAAATTGTAATTAATAAAATTATCTTGATTTTGTTGTTAATAATCTAAAAATATATTCTGTTTTGGTACGCTTAACACTCCTATATAGTTTAAGAATAAATGATAAAGATAATTTATATACATTTTAATCTATTAATACACCTTTAAGTTCAAAAATAGACAATATCTTATAAAAATTGATCCTAATAATATGTGATAGATAAAAGAAAATTCTAAAATATATAATATCTCAAACATAAATATTAACCTTAACAATATAATTATAATAATCATATATTTCAATTTAAACCATACACATTAAATTATGAATAAATACCTTTCTAATTTTTAATTATGTATATCTCTTTTCTAGGAGTGTTCTTCGGAATAAAAAAATTACTTTTAAAATATTATACAATAAGACATCTAGCAATTTTTGGAAGGATAGTTTTGTTGTTTACTCTTAAATTGTTTTAATTAAATAATTTTTTATTAAAAAGATAAAACATAAAAAAAAAGGGTGACTTTAGTATCCGGTCCAATGGTTGTTTGGATTTTGACCTGTTTGTTATAACTCTGTTTCAGTACGACATAAATTATTATCTTTTATTTTCAATGTATATATAGTTATATTTTGTTTGTGTGAAAAAATGAAAATTAATCATTCCAGAAAATTATAAAGTGTATTTGATGGAAGGATTGAGACTATTTACCCACGGTTTCTGAATAAGAATTTTTTAATTAATTATGTAATACTTCAATTAGACTATTATTTATAATTACAAATAATATTTTATTTTAATTATTTTTTAATGTTATGAGAAAGAAAAATACAAATATTATAATTTTAAAAATTTGTTTTAATTTATACATTAAAAAATATTAAAATATAAGATACAGAAAAAATGTGATAAATAATTAAAAAATAATTAAAGTAGAAATAAAAAATTAAATTAAATTAAAAAATGTTTTAAAAAAAATAATCATACAAAAAATATAAATATATAGACGCTTTATCACATATTTTTATTAGTTATTTATAGTATTATTTTAGTTTTTTAAATTAATATTATTTTTTAACTTTATTAAATATTAAGTTATTTAATAAAAAATATAATTTAAGATTAATATAATATTTATATAACTTATACGTATTGTGTAACGTATATCATTTTGTATTATTTTATTATATAATTTAATAAAATTATGGTATTGATAAAAAGATATTATTAATTCACTTAAAATTAAATAAAACTAATAATAATAATAATAATTAAATATGAAAATATTTAATCTTTTATTTGATTTTTCTGATGTTATTTAAAAAGAGGGGAGACAATTTCACATTGTTGATACTAGATTTAGTAATTATATTTCATAAAAGTGTTTACATAGGAATCATGGGAATGTAATGCTATTTAAGTTATGTGCGTGTGAGAGGGGTTATATCCAAATTATGATTAGAAAATAAAATAGCATAAATTTGCCTTTTTTGTCACAAAGTCGTATAGATGAAGAAGCAAGGTCTAAGTCTACTTAAAATTTGAGATCTGTGTGAAAGTGTTAAATCCAAATGTTCAAGGCTACTACCACATGTTTACACTTCCCAAGGCTCAAAGTTAATTTATTTATTTATAGGACATGTTTCTCTATCTTTATCTAACCCCTAAAAGGAGATGTGATTGTAAGACTTTTATTGTTATGTTACTCATCTAAACTATTTTCAAAAAAGTTCAAAACAAGAGCACATTCATAGTTTTCATATCATCTGATTTTAGAAGGAGACAAAATAGGTTTTGTGCCAGTAGATTTTAATTCAATAATGTCAATCTATGTTTCAGAAAGCAATTTTACACTTTGCAATTTGTTAAAACCTTTCATCTACAATAATTCACAATAGTTTATGCACTGTAACCACCACACGATATAAATGGATAATATTGGCTTTTAAGAAATACATATCACGAATTTATCAAGTAAAAATTAAAAAATAAGACCAACAATTTTGAAAAGTAAGAATCAAAATTAAACTAAAATAAATTATAAAGAGTAAATATATGCTTAAACATCAATATGAAGAGAATCAACTTGACTAATAGTGATTATTTCATAATGAATTTAGTTAAGTAAAAGAGTTTAACACAACATATAGTTAAAGATTTTACAATCCAACTCAATCTAATAAATTAAGTGGGTTAATTAACTAATTTATATTTACAGTACATGATCACGAATATAATGAAACTTAGTGATTTTAAATAAGACGATGAATGTGATGACTCGATGATGTAGTAATGCAATCGTGGATAAACATAAGAGATAACAAGTGAAACAAGTATAACAATCTTAAATAAAAATAATTTTAGAATGAAATTAAAATTTTATTAAAATATTATAATTTTTTTAAAATTTAAAATATATTATAGGTAACGGATCAATCTATCCAAATTTATAAATTAGATTTATTTTGATCTATAATTAATAAAATAAATAAAAAATCTAATAATAAATCGAATTAGTTCATAAATTAGAATTTGTATTTACATTTCTATGTTTAGTCATAGAACCAATAAACCTACTGTTTCGATATAAGAAATAGAAAAATAGATAGTAATCTAAAAAGAAAACTTAAAAAAAAAAATGTATTGATAGTAATGTTGATCCTCCTACTTTTAAGAAAACATAGATTTTTATATGGAGATATAATTAAATTCATCGAGCATCTGCATAAGACGCTTACATTTGTTTTCTTCAAATGAATAATTATGGCTATAGTATTGAAGAACAAATGAAACTAGTAATTGATATGGATGACCCTCAAAATTGGACTCTTTAAGAACTAGTAAAATTGGTGATTATGGTTAGAATACAAGATTAGGTTTTGATTTAAAAAAATAAACAGAAATACACTTTGTAATCTAAAAACAAAGTATGAAGACCAGAATTTAGGTTTGCTACCAAAGGACCAACAATAAGAAATCATGATCCCAAGATAAATTATGAAGCAAGAAATAGAAATGGTTGCAACCAGCTCTTAAATAATTTAAAATTAACGTTAACCTAACTATTTAGGTATATATATCTGTAGATAGAAACACGGGTATGAAAGCGTCTGTGCATTACATATGCATGTTGATGGTTAGAAATTTCCTTATTTTAGATTTTAATTTAAAATAAGTTGATCGATATATAAATTGTATTGGAAGAATTAAGATAGGTAATGTGTTATTCTCTTTCCAAAAATAAGTAATTTTGATGGTTAATGGAAATTAAAGAAAGATATAAATTGTATCGTAGGAGAAGTAGGTGAATGGAAAAGGAAAAAGTGGTAGTGGTGGTGGTGAAGGTGGAGCCACCCCACAAGGCACAGTTTGAGGAAAGGCAAAGGCATAGTGGTATCTAGGGCAGAGAAGAATATAAGGAAGTAAGGGAAATGTGTGTTACACGTAAATTGATGGACACCATGGCACCAACTCTCCTCTGTCCCCTTCAAGCTGGGATTTGTCTGCTGGCTCATGCCACTGCTAAATCTTCAAATTCCCCCATCTTCTATTGTCTAAGGGACTTTCAACCCCTTATTTATGCTTTCAACCTTCCTTCGGAAATACCCAACTTCAACTAAACTAAAACTCTAAAAAGTTATACATATAATCAATTTTTTATGTCAAAATTTATGAAATTAGTTTTTACAATGTAAAAAGTTTGGTTCATGTAGTTCTTATATTTTTTTTAGCACATTTTTAATTTGTTTCATTTACATATATGTCATATTCTTAGTTTATCTTAATCTATAATATTTTTAATTTAATCTCTTACTTATTATATTTTGCATTTTACATTAAAAATTAAATAACAACATATTATGTATATTGAAGTTGTTTTAATATGTTTTTTTATAGGAAAATAATAAAATTACAAATTTACCAATACATTAAATTATATGTTGAAAACAATTTTTTTTAATGAAAATAAATGTCATTTACAATAAAAACATGCAATCAATATTGTTTCCTTTCAATTAGGATTTTGCATCCCACATTTTTTCGGTCTTTCCTATTTAACAGTGAAACTAAAGAAAAACAATGTGGTAGTCTTAGTTAATTGTTGATGTGTCACTTAATAAACAATTATTTATTAATAGATGTCATTATAAATTTATAAAAAAAAATCAATAAGTTATTTAAGCCTTAAAACTTTTACCTCCTTAATCAATTAAATTTTAACGGTCACCGTTCATGGCTTTTGTTATAAGTTAAAAATTGTAAAATAATTGAATGATAAATTATAAGAATAACTAAATAACAATACAAATTTACATTTGTTTACAAGTATAAAAATAACTCTTTTAAAAACAGCTAATTTCATGATATATTATTCAAAATAGCTTAACTTTTTAATAAAAAATTAGATTTTTTTAACTTTTGATTATTTTAAGAAAATTGAGACAAATTCACGGAGAACTTTTGAAAGGGATTATTTAAAAAAAATATGATTTTTTAGAAAGTTATAACTTATCTAAATGACACCATAATTATAAATTTTTTATGATTAAAGTCTTAGTTAAAATGTAGGATTGCAATAAAATTCTATTATCTATATAAATGAAATAAAATTTTATTATCGATTATGAGTCATATTAATATTTCGTTTAAAAATAAAAATATTATAATATTATAATAATATTATTAATGTCAATTATATATATATATAATATTATTTATTTTAAATTTTAATTTATTATAATTTTATCTTTAAAATATATCTTAGTAATTAAGAAATAAAAGTGTATATAACATATTACGTAATACTCTTGATAGAAAGAAAATGTAATTAGTACCCTTACTTTGAAATGGGATTAATTAACCTTGTTTTACCTCAATTTGGTGATGCATTCTCTCTCTTAAAAGCATTAGTTGCTATCAAATCCCTCTATATTTTGGCGAATGACAAATTTGCCCCAAGATTTGGTCAAACCTAAAAAATATTAGTACCTGTTTTTCACTAATCCACTTTTTAAGCATTGGACCTTAAGTAGTGGGGGAAGCAATGATTAGATAATGGATTTGACGCGACTAAAGTCCTTTTCCAGGAGGATCAAAACTCGGAGTATGTTCCACTTGTGACCTTCAAATGGGTCCTCTTTCTTCTCCATTTTCACCACGCTCTTCAAAATCCCATTTTCATACGTGTCTTTTAACTTTTCAAGACCCACGGGCATGAGGTGGAAAGACATGATTTGCTTTTATTTTTATTTATTTTTTATTTCATTAGTTAAAGATTTCAAGTGCACGTGATTCTTTCTAAATTAACCTTTCATACTTGTAGAACAACAAAGCATATTGTAGTGTGTCTTAAGGATTTTTTAGTTTTAATTATTGAAACATCCACACAAAAATTCCGAAAAAAACTCATCTAACTAAATTTTATATGCATTAAATTATATTTTCGCTAATAATTTGTATTTATCGAGTTGATCATGGACTAATCAAAGCATGTGAACTACATTTAACAGCAACATGTTTGATAATGACACTAACATCCTCGGTAGAATACTCATTAGCAATCATTTTGTGCCTCTTCTTGCAAGAATGATGGGACGAGTTATGAGTTCAATGAAATGGCTATTTTGTCTTGGAACCCTGTGAAAGTACCCTCTGTAGATGGAAAATACTAGGTTGTGGAAAATTGGTTGAAAGGGTAAACATCTACAACCAATTGAAAAGACACACATATTAGACTAGTGGAAACGAGGCAAGAAAAAACCATGGGAAGAAAATTAGATCTTCCTACCTACCATTTATGTAAAAGAAACACACCAATGAACTATCTAATTTTAATTTATGAAAAAATTAATATTTATTTTAGTTAGAGTTTAGTTCTGTTGAATCTTTATATAAGTTCATCCCCATGGAATTGTTTATAAAATGCTTCAAGTTAAGCAACATTACTTAATACAATTAGTTACAATACTCATTCATTTTAATTTTCGCATTTAATAAGTCTCCATGCAAATATACAGTGACAATAACAATAATTTATATCCAAGAGTTGACTTTGTTTACTTAGGGTTACCCCTGAGGATTTGTTTGATGGTAACACCCGAGGACGCATGATACGAGGCTGTGAGAATTTTTAAAGAACTAAAGTTACACACTTAGACTCAATTATAACTTTTGACTTTAGTAATAAGCTTTTGATTTTTAACAATAACAAGAGAAAATTAAAGTTACGAGTTCAAAAATTGCGTTCCACCTGGGAAACAATATTATAACTTTATCTAAAAGATTTTGATAACCAATGGATGCAATTCCTTAACTGTTTGAGAAATTCTTAAGGAAAGTAATTACATTCTTATGATTATGAGTTATAGTTGGTATATTTAACGCATGAGTTAAGAATAGTCGATAAGTAAATCACAATTAATTTGAACAAGAAAAAATCAAAATTATTTTTTAAAAGAAAACACGAGAGGCCATGGTCCTTTGTAGGAACATATATAACTTGGCTCTGATCGATCGGAGATATCATATGAAAGTGAAAAGTAGGAATTGAAAGATGAACCATACGTGGGACTTAGGGTTTTCAGATCCCCACAAGGGTCCTTCTTAGGTTTTATATATTAGAATCAGTTGCCACGTGAACGTATGGATAACTCTCACAAAGGTTCAAACTTTGAATATGTTTCTATCCCTTCCTCATTTTAAGGTAGATATGAAAAAAATATTTTTTATAATTAATTTCCTTTTTTTTTGTTTTAATTCTCCAATACACACAGTATATTGGAAAGAAGAAAGAAGGAAGTTAGATTTTGATATTTCTTCTTATATAATTATTTTTATCAAAAGATTTAACTGATAACTAAGAATAAAACTTTTAATTTTTACTATTTTTATTTATAAAATTCAAATCCAATACTCTATTTAAAAAGTAAGAGTTCAGTTTCATTCAAATTAACACAAATGAAGCTGACAATTTAAATGAGTTAATCCCTTTTAATGGCTCTATATTTTTTTTATATAGAAAAGAAAGAAGACATAGATAATATGATAAAGAATAAATAAGAATAATATATAACAAAAGTACTGTTGAAAACATTACATCAATAATATGTCTCTTTCCTTAAATTCTCGGTCTAAATTCTGGATTAATAAGGTAGATTCATGCATTCCCATGCAAAAGTGGTCCCATTATAATTAGGAGGAATCAAATTCAATTGTACGAGTTAATCATTGCCAAGAAGATGGGCCAAACATTAAATCATAGTCTACCATGCGTGAAATTTCTTTAGCATTTTATGATACACGAAATTATATACTAACCTCAAGTGGAATCAAAGTGTCATAACGTGATGTGACATTTTTTTAATATGGAATAATAATAATAATAATAATAATTTTAGAACGAAAAAGATATATAGTTATATATCTGGATAATTGATATAATTAATTAATTAGAACAAATTTGAGAATCTGTGTGTTTGATCCCGAGAACGTTATTTGGATAAGGGTGAAAATCATTAAAGTCTATTGAAATTCAGATGATCGAATTTCTAATTAGTGTGCAACAGTTGACCAAAAAAATTTGAAGTGTGAGAGAGATTCCATTAAATTTATTTAATTACTATGTTATAGTAGGAGAGACGCAAAGAAAGAAATAAAAATATATTAAATAATTAATATGTATTTAATGAATACTACAAGTTGTTTGGATTCAAAATTTATATATATCTGATCCTATCGTTTCAATAAAATAAGTATAAATGGGTGGAAAATAAAATAAAATAAAATACAACGGAGCTCTTTTATAGATTCAATCAATGTTAAAATGTTCATTTATATCAATTTGAACTTATAAACCAGACATGTGATAGTGAACATATAATTTATCTCGCATTTGTGGTATAAGATCTCATGCGTGACATTGAAAATATATATACTCAGTGGCGGATCTTCTTGGGAGCTGAGATGGGTCGTTGCCTCCCTAAAGTTTTGTAACTCCTATGTAATTTATGATTTTGGCCCCCCAAATATAATGAACATTTAATATATTTACTTGTATATTTACAATTTTATTCTCTCAGCCCCTCCTCAGTTTTATAACTCTCATATAATTGATGATTTTGTTCTCCTAAAACTTAATGATCATTTAATATATTTAAGTATATATCTACAATTTTATCTTTTCACCCTTTTATCTTCTTTCTTCCTTTATATTTATTAATAATATATTATTTGGCCCCCAAGATCAATAGTCAAGATCCGCCACTGTATATAGTAATAAATGAACACTTTATTCTCTTTATATCTGATTAATATATATAACATGTGTTTTGGGATAGTCGAAGGAATATAAAAAGATGCACAAGTGTTGTGGTGAAGTTGAAGTGTTATTTATATTAAATAAAAGAATGGCATACACAGCTGATAGAAAGTATTAATGGTAAGAATGAATAATTGAAAGTGCATGTGAATAGCAGCCATGGTCATGGTTTCAGGTTTTCCTTTTTCGTTAGGTACTATTTTGTGGTCAAATATGTTCACCTGCCCAAGTACAACTTTTTCTCTATCTAACACATACAAATATTGCTCCCATCTTTGACTAGTGCTAAAGGATCTTCGTTTTTCTAAATATCCCTATGCATAACAAGATTTGGATGCTTAAGACGTTGATTCGATAATTACGCAACTATTTGTGTTACAATCTGATGCAACAGATCGAATCGTTTTAACGTCGATTCTTGCATCCCAAATACGATTTCCATCTTCCAAGAACTCACCCACGAACCAAATTAATAAGTCAAACGTCTATATATATTATCATTTTTATTACCATAGTCGTAATATTCAGTTCACGCAAACGTGAATATGATTTTTAGTTTAGACTTTATATTATTAAGATTTTGTTTTTTCAGTATTTTATAATATTTATTAGTTTCATTTTGACTTTCTTTTAAGTCTCAAAATGGTCCTTTATTTTGTTTCTTCAAAGTAATCTCAGTATTTTATTTTCATATTTTGAATAGACTAACATCATAAAGAATGAGCTGGTTCCATTCAAATTTATCAGACCCAAATAAATGTAAATAAATAAAAATTATTTTGTCAAAAAATTGGAATGTTACTGAAAGAGGTAAACATGTTTTATTTTACAATAATTGATTTAAACAAATTAAATAATAATAATGATAAAAAGTATAAAAAGATAAGAAATCTATTTAATCTAAAATTTGGATGTAATTTTAATATATTTCTTTTTGATAATTAAGTAGATATTTATTATTTATTTTCTTGTAATTTGATTATTAAAATGAATTTATCATATTTTAGCATATTATTTAAACAAAAAATCAATTACCATGAATTGATTTCATTTGAGTACAATTCGATTAAGTTGAAAGTATAAACTAATTTAATTGGATTGTTTGGATTCTTGGTTAATCCAAACCGATGAATATCTACTAATAAGGATATAATGTGAACAAAACAATGTATATATAATGTTTTAATTCCAAATCGATGTTGTTTTATTATGTTACTGTTAATGAAAAATCGATACAAGGATCGAAAAGTAGAAAAGAAAAAATCGAAGATCATATGATTGGTTAAAAAGTTGATAAATCGGAAAGATGGCTGGAAGACACCCGGTGACCATGAGATAGTGGAAATCGAAAATCAGAAAAGAGAGAAACAAATCGATGAAAGTAATGATAAAGTATAGTGTAAAGTCAATGTTAAGGGAAATCGAACTCGATAACTGGAATCGAGATCGAGGGAAACGGTTATCATGCATATGGAACATGAGGAGTGGCTTTTCACATCGCGGCTAAGGTTAGAAATCGAGAAACGGTTATAATGCACATGGAACATGAAAGCGGTTTTCTAAATCGTAAACCAAGGCAAAAATCGAGGAACGTGCACATGGAACGTGGTGACAATTTTTTAAACTGCTCTTAGGAGGTTATATTGAAGGATGCCTATAAATAGAACGAAGCTTGAAGAAGGGGGGGAAATTGGCAGAGACAACAGAAGCACAAGTGAAAAGTCTACTGCAGAACGACGAATCATGAAGTTTCTAGCGATCTGGATTTCTATTCTCATTGATTGTTTTTACCGCTTTCTTTACTTTCCCTGGTAACTTATTTACATTCATCAATCTAAGTTCCTGTACTCTAAATTTTGTCATTTACCTTCGATGCAATATAAGATTCTATACTTAAAT